AGTAAAAAGGCACAGTCCTGATGTTACCAAACCACACGGCAGGCCATTAACTTAAGTCCATTGTAAGTCCCAAGGTCACCAGAGCATAGCAGGCTGCTGAGCAAAGACACGGCTACATGCAGGGTCCAAGCGTGCCATAGGCTAGAGACCATCCTCAAAGCTTCTCCTTATATACAGGAAGCAGACCACATACCCAAAGGCAGTGACTCAGCTGCTCCCAGTAGATTCCACCATGGAGTTGATTACCAGTCTCATCATGGGGAATACTACATCTAGCTGCCCACCCACTCAACCAGGCCCAGCCAAGTTGACATACAAACATAACCATCACAATGAGCATGCATATTCTCTCATTTATTTGGCTCTCTTGGTTTCTTGTAGTAGTGTTTTGTAGTTTTCTTTGTAAGTCTTTTGCATCTCTCATTAGATATTTCCTAAGTGTCACCTTTTTGGGTGACGTATTGTTTTCTTGATTTCCTTTTCAGACTTCTCTGTTACTGTAAAGGAATATTATGGATTTTTGTATGTTGATCTTGTAATCTGCCACTCTGCTGAATCTTTCAATAAGTTCCAGTAATTTTCCTGCTGAGTCTTTTGGATTTTCTATGCATAGGATAATATAATCTGCAAATAGAGATAGTTTTACTTCTTCTTTGCCAATTTGTATGCCTCTTATTTCTCTTTCTTGCCTTATTGCTTTGGCTATGACTTTCAATACAATATTGAATTGACTGGTGATGAAGGGCATCCTTCTCTGGTTCCCATTCTCAAGGGGAATGTTTTCAGTCTCTCAATTGAGACTAACGTTGTCCTCTGGTTTTGTATACAAGCCTTTAATTGTGTTGAGGAATTTCCCTTCTATTCCTAATTTGTTGAGCACTTTTATCAAGAATGGGTTTTGGATTTTTCAAATCATTGTTTTTTGATTGATTGATATGATGATGTGGTTCTTTTCCTTTCTTTTATTTATATGGATTATATGGATTGGGATTCTAATGTTAACCACCCTTGCATACTTGCTATGAATCATATATATATATATATATATTTGGAGTCTATTGGCTAGGGTTTTGCTGAGAATTTTTGTGTCCATGTTCATGAGGGATATTGGTCTACAATTTTCTTTTTTAATGAAGTCATCACTAGGCTTTGGAATCATGTTATTCTTGCTTCATAAAATGAATTCAGGAGTATTCCTCTCTTTTCTATATTCTGGAATAGCTCAAGTAGAATTACTGTCAGCTCTTCTCTGAATGTTTAGGAGAATGTGCCAATAAAACCATCTGGGCCAGGAATTTTTTCCATTGAGAGTTTTTTAATGACCTGTTCAATTGTTACTTTCGATGTGCTTATTTTCATCATTGTGTCTCAGGTGTATCTCTTGTAAGCAGCATGTAGATTGGTCACACATTCTTAACCTTTCTCCTACTCTCTGTTTCTTGACTGGTACATTTAATCCATTTACATTCAAAGTAATTATCAATAGATATTAATTTATTGCTGCCATTTTAGTATGCTATTTGTTTGTGTGTGTGTGATGCTGCTTATTTCCTTGATTTTTCTGTGGTGAATTCATTTTGTTTATGGATTTTATCATTATTTCTTCTGTTGCTATTGTTTTGGTGTTTATTATATCTTTAATATTTTCCTTTTTTTTATTTTCATGAGAACATTTATTAATTTCCTTTTACATTACCTTGTAATTTATTATTTTTTACCAAAGTTTCAGTCAGTTTCTCTTGAAATCATCTTCCATTTGGAAGTCCTGTAACTATGTAACTTATTCCCTCTTTTTGATGTATAGTTGTCCTCATTTACAAATTCATGTCTCCGATTTCCTATTTTCAGTCTTGTAGTTTTATTTTCCTTGGATGCCTTTATATCTGAGTCGGTTTCTGGGTAATGTTTCATGTATGTTAATCTCAGGTTGTTGACTGCTATTGTTTGCTCTCTTAAAAAAATTCCCTTTAGTATTTTCTGTAAGGTTATATTTTCTTTAACTTCTGAAATGTCTTGATTTGACCATTGTATTTGAGGGTATTTATTTGTATTTAATTCTTTTCTGGTGATTTAATTTTTTTCTTTTAGAGTTTTATATATGTCATCCCATTGCCTTCTTACCTGCATGGTTTTTGCCAAGAAATCAGAGCTTAGTCTTATTGATTCTCATTTATAGGTGACTCTTCATTTTTCCTGACCTGTTTTCAGGATTATTTTCTTGTGTTTGGTTTTGGAAAGTTTGATTATTGTATGTCTTGGTGATTTTTCTTTTGGGAGTTTATCCTGTTAGGGATTCATTGAGTTTCTTGAATGTACCTCTTCTTCTCTTTCATGATATTAGGGAAGTTTTCCTCCAACAAATCTTTGACTTTCTTTCTTTCTTTCTTTCTTTTAATCTCTTTCTTGTTCTGGAAGTCTGATCACACATAAGTTATTCCTTTTCACGGTATCCTACATAACTCTCAACACTTCTTCTTTTTTTGTTTGTTCTTTGATTTTTTCTGATTGTTCCAGTAACAGATTAGTCTTCAATTTCACTAATTCTGTCTTCCATTAATTAAATTCTACTACTTTGCCCTTTCAATGCATTATCTATTTCTGAAATTTTACTATTAATCTTCTGGATTTCTGTTTGTTGCTTTTGTATGGTTTCTAATTTTCAATTTATTTTGTCAGTTTGTTCTTGTATCATTTTCCTGAATTCTTTTACAACTTTGTCTTATTTCCTTGATTTTGTCTGTTTTCATTCATCTTTCTCTCAATCTGTTGAAGATACCCAAATATAATTATTTTGAATTCCTTATCAGATAGCTCCAATGCCATTTCTTCCTCAGGAAGGTTTTCTGGTCACTTGATTGAGCCACCTTGTCTTGTTTCCATGTGTAACTGAGAGTTTCTGTTGTCTCCTTGACATTGTGGTGTTGCTACATTTGCATTTAATTGATGATTGTATGGTGTGTTTCATTCAGACTTTTTTTTTTTCATTTTGTTTTGATATATCCAGGCAAGTAGGGCAGGCATGCTACTCTGCTCAGTAGTTTTGGCAGTAATAAGGTACTCACCACCAGTCTCCTGGTGGGTGTTACAGAGTATAGGTGTGCTCAGTTCTCTGCTATTTGTCTACAGCAATGGAGTGTGACCAGGATTGGTGTTGGCTATCATGTGTTATTGATCAGGTGGTGGAGGAGTGAGTGGTGACACTTCCCAAGTGGGTGGGGCTGCAGGAGTTGCAGGTATGGCTGAGTAGTATGGATGAAGTTGCTGTTCTCCTGGTGGGTGGGACAAAAACAAACAAACAGAAAAAAACCTAGAAATGGGAAAAAAAAAAAAACTAAGGAGGAGGAAAAAGAGAAGAGAAAAAAAGCAAAAGCAAAACAAGGGAAGGAGAAAACTGGAGGGAGAGTACCTGGTTGTGCTCCTGCAAGCTGAGATGGTGGCAGGGTCAGGGCACCCAGTACAGGTTAATGCACTGTGTTGGCCAAAGGGTGTCCAGTCTGGGACACTTCTGTCAAGTCTTAGGACCTAGGAGGCAGCTGGAGATAGGGTGCCTAGTCCAGGACAGGAGTTTTGCTGGCTTTGGAGGTGGCTGTGGGTAAGAACCTGTTCTAGGATGATGTTTCTGCTAGTAAGTGGGTAGGGGTGAGAGATGGTTATATTCTAGTCACCAGAAGGGTGTGGGTAATAAGGGAAAAGACTGTACCTTTCTGGCTACCAGCCACCATTGTGGCTGCTGATGCAGTCCTGGGTGACCAGAGCTGATTATCAGGTTCCTGTCCTGATCAGATCAGAATGCGGCTTGCAAAAATTCAAAAGGGCTGCATTGTTCAAGGCCAGTTGACAATTCACTGCTCCATATGTCTCTTTGTTTGCTGCTTTTATTCAGATTCTTCTTCTAGTCTGTATTTGATCCACTTCTTAAACCTTTCTTTTGAAGCTCAGGGTTCCAGGATTATCACCCATATCTGTTGCATTTGTTTTTTCATATCTTTGTTGCAGAGAGTCTGGGTAGTTTGTATGCCTACTCTACCTTCTTGTTGGAAGTCCTCCTCTATGCACATTCTATATATGAGCTTGAAAAGAACCATCACTTCCTAAAATTATAGCCATAATTTTGTGAATATATATATTTTCTAGGAAGATATCCATGATACTCATCAAATTATCAAAGAGGGCCACAGTTAAAAAAGGACAGGACTTAAAGGCTATAAAACAAGTCTTATCAATCTTTCAAAAAATGGTGGCTATATTTTATAAATCCAAAGTCAGAACACATGGTGTGACAACAGGAGAGTGTATTCAAACCTGAGAACACAGATATAATGCTCAAATATATGAAATGGTGGTATCTTTGAGAAAAGGAGCTTCTTATATAGGACATAAAATACACTTTAGCTAAATATAAAATAAAATGTGCTGAAATAATTTATTAATATTATTACATGAATAATAAAATTTTACATACTTTTAAACAAAAAGAAACAAGACCTGTATTGGAAGGAGAGAAACTTAATGACTTAAAAAAAAAAAAAAAACCTAATCAATTCACCAACAGTGCTAAACCAGTAAAACCAGATATTGTTGAGTTAATTTTGACTCATGGCGACTCCATACATGTCAGAGTAGAATTGTACTCTATAAGGTTTTCAATGGATGTGGTCTTTCAGAAGTAGATCACTGGGTCTGTCTTTTATGGTACCACTAGGTGAATTTGAGCCACCAACTTTTTGTTAGTAGGCAAGTGCAAACTGAAAAACCTCACATGCTTGTGAGAGATCTTGTTTTTGTTGGTTTGTTTTTTATTTTTCTGACACACATGGAGTTACCATGAGTCAGAATTGAATTGACAGCAATGTATTCCACAGGTATATAACAGCAATCTTCAAGGTATCTTTAGATAGCCCAAATGAAATACATCTTTGTACAACTATAAGACACTCCACGACAGCAAACTATCCACCACTGGGTAATGACCCTTTGTTGATCTTCCTCTTATCCACTGTTCAGTTGCAAGATATGTGCTTCAGCAGCTGGATTGGAGAAAGATGGGGGATACCTTGTGGGTGGCATGTGATATCGCACTTTTTTCCAAAACTTGGTCTTTGCAGATTGGGATTCTTCTGTGAAGTCCCCACTCCACTGGATGGCCCCATGCTTCTGTCTAATATACTTAATTGATTCTGGCATGTCTGTGTAGTCCTTGATTTTCTCCAGTTCAATCAGAATGACCTTCATTCCTTCCTGGATGAGGGCATTGTAGACTATGATTTGCTCTTCTGCTATGTTTTTCAGTAGGCCGATCCTCAGAAATTCAGGGACTATTATGATGATCAGTCTCCTGCACAGCTTACTGTTCTCATCAATGACACTGGCTATAGCTGAACACGAAGAAAGAAGAGCTGATTCAGAATAGCTCATTATTAAACAGTCTTGGTCTTAATGCTACTAAGAATATCAGAAATGGGCACTGCAAGGAGAACATGGACTTTGTACATGCTGTAATCAGGAATGTGTTAACAACATTTTTAATATGCCATCCCTCTGCGGAGTTTTTTGACTCTCCCCTGCAGAATTAGTCTTCTATGTTCACAAATCATATTTTATTATAGTTAACTGTTTGCATATCCCTTTCCAAGGCCCACCTATTCCACCCACATACTATGAGTTGGTCGAGATAACGATCTTATTATGACTAACTTTGCATTCCCAGATTAACTGAAGGTCTGGCATATATTACATGATCAACACATTTTTAAAAATAAATAAATTTAGAAATTATGGTGAAAATGTACTCGGTTCAAATGTTTTGTTAATCTTGCATTTCTGTATTTTAGGCAAATCTGCTGCAAAATACCTCTTTAAAGGGTTAAAAAGCAAAGATGTCACTTTGAGGACTAAGATGCACCTGACCCAAGCCATAGTATTTTCAATCATGCAAAAACTGGACAATAAGGAAGTTCAAAGAAGAACTGATGCCTTTGAATTATGGTGTTGGTGAAGAATATTAAATATACCATGAATGGCCAGAACAAACAAATCTGTCTTGGAAGAAGTACAGCCAGAATGCTCCTTAGAAATGAGGATGGTGAGACTTCATTTTGTGTAATTTTTACAAGTTATCAAGAAGGACCAGACTCCAGAGAAGGACTGGTGACTAGAAAAGGATATTCATTTTAGACACCAGTCATTTTGTTGTGTAGCTTTTGAAGAAATGGCATATAGGACAAGAAGGAAACTCATTTCTTGAGTGTTTAATATGTGCTAAGTGCTACAGTAGTCCTTTTACAGGTTTTACTTCATTTATTTCTCTGCACCAGATTAGGAAAGCATCCTTAACTCCATTTTCCAGATGAGACAATAGTCTCCTACTCAATGAGAGAAGCAAATAAAGAAGTTCTCTTTAGAGAGAACTTACCCTTAGGTAAGAGAGGGGCAGGTAGAATTGAAATTTATAAAATCTGCTTTAAATATGAGTTGGTTTACATCTCCAAACCAACTGAAAACATTCATCAGTTAGTCCCAATGACATGAAGGTGAATGACCACTTGTCTCTTGGCCAAGAGTGTGACACTGGCCTCTCCTTCACGTGAATGGGTTAACTAGTTCTTACTCCACAGTAAGAGTCACATTATTTTAACCAGGAATTTCAGTCAACATCAAGTTGCAAGAATGAGCCTGAGCTGAGAAGCAGTTGGCCCTAACCACCTTGGATCAGGGCTGGCATGCCCAGAGAGGCTCTGGTCAAAGATGTTCTGTGGTTTCTAGGTGAAGGCAAGCAAAGTCCTGCCAGCTGTAAAGGACAGAGAGAAATCCCCTTTTCATATCATTCATTTGTTGTTTTCATATGTCACTTAAGACATACCTTGTCCTGGAACTTCATCCCTCCCGAATATAAATAACTTATATCCACACTGCCTCTCCAACACCTCTGGCAGGATCTTCAATACCAGTATGTTCACATTATGGCTCTGGAATCCACTTTGAGGCTTGGGATATAAGACATACGCATCATACAACTTCCCATCTGAAATGGAGATGGACAAGTTCACAGGATGATTCTTACGAAAATATTTTACTGTAACAAAATGAAAATCTGACTTGCTACCCTTATGTCCTTTCAGTTTGAGCTCAGTCACTTCAACAAGACCAGCTGGAAGATTTGGTGCCAGGCATTTCCATGCTATGGCATTTCATTCTCACAAACCAGGCTATGAAGGAAATGACTTTATCACCATTACAAAAGAATGAAGCTGAGACTAGAAATAATGCATGATCTCCCCAAGGTCATACAGCTCTAACTTCAACCTGTGGCTTTTGACTTTAAACCCACTACTACCTGTGATGTGACTGAACACAAGAATTGAGGGCAAGAGACTTCACAAATTTACCCAGGGTGGGCCCTGTGCAATGTAGGACAGTCCTGACTGCACCAGACAAAATGGACCATATTCCTTTTTTTTAGACCCACTAGTGAACTCCATCAGGAGCTCTGGTAGCATAGTGGCTAAGACACTTGCCTGCTAACCAGACGGCTGGCGGTTCAAACCCACCAGCCACTCCTCGGAAGGAAGGTTGGGCAATCCTACTTCCGTAGTGATACTGCCTCAGAAACCCAAGGAGGGGTCGCTATGAGTCCGGTTTGACTCGACGGCACATAACAACAACAACAACAACAACAGTGAACTCCATCACTGAAATCCCAAAGCCCAGCATTATAGACCTGCTTATTGATTCAGTTGTGAGGATTTCTGTTTTCTCTATGTTTAGGTGTAATCCATACCAAAGGCTATGATCTTTGACCTTCCTCATTAAGTGCCTCAAGAATTCTTTGCTTTCAGCAAGCAAGATTGTGTCATTTGCATATCATCTACATCTGGACCAATGATCATAATAAACTGAGAAAATATCAAAGTTGTCAAGGATTTCATTTAACTTGAATCCACAGTCAATGCCTGTGATAGTTAAGGCTGCATGTCAACTTGGCTGGACCATTATTCTAAGTGGTTTAACAGTTACGATGCATAATAAGACCTCATATTATGTAATCACCTCTATGATGAGATCTGCTATGATCACCCAATCAGTCCAAAGGAAGTTTCCTTTGGGGCATGCCCTACTTCCAGTATATATGGAAAAGTTGTAAAAAACTCACTGACTTTTTGCTCGTTCTGGTTACTACATATGGCTCATCATCATCTGAACTTGAACCATATTGCCTTGACTTGCCATACTGCTTGCTGATTTTGGGATTGTTGCCTAGATAGTTTGTGAGGTGACTGCCAATCTTGGAGTCATACCCTTATGAAGACAGCAACCTACTATATAGCCTGCCAATCTTGGGTTTGCAGCCCTTGCAGCAACATGAGTCAAGAGAAGCCTCTAGCTTGATGTATGACCTACAGATTTGGGACTTGCCAGCCTCTACAACTGCATGAACCATTTCCATGAGATAAATTTCTCTCTCTCTTGCTCTCTCATTTTATCAGCTTCACTGGTTTTACTTCTCTAGAGAAGCTAACCTAAGAAAATGCCCACTGAAGCAGCAGTCAGGAAATCAAATGATGTACTGAGCAAATCTGCTGCAAAAGACCTCTTTAAAGTGTTAAAAAGCAAAGATGTCACTTTGAGACAAAAGTGCACCTGAACCAAGCCAAGGTAGTTTTAACTGCCTAATGTGCATGTGAAAGCTGGATAAGGAAGATCAAAAAACTGATGCCTTTGAATTATGGCATTGGCAAAGAATATTAAATGTATCATAGACTGACAGAAGAACAAATAAATCTGTTTGGGCTTCCAGCAAGATGGCAGACTAGACAGATAAACTACCCAGACCTCCCACAACAGAGGCATGAAAACCAAATGAAACATATACAGATAATCCTAGAACCCTGAGCTTCAAAGGAAAGTGTAAAGAAGTAAATTGAATGCAGACTAGAAGAAGAAACTGAACAGAAACAGCAAAAAAGGAGGCATCCAGAGTGAATTTTCAACTGGATTGACACAGTGTAGCCATTTTGAAATTTTGCAAGTAGCATTCTGATCAGGGCAAAACCTAAAACCAAACCAAAACAAAACAAAAAAACATACTGCCACTGATTTGATTCTGACTCACTGTGACCCCCATTGGGTTTCTGAAGCAGTAAATCTTTACGGAAGTAGATTGCCAGTATTCCTTCTGTGGAGAAGCTGCTGGTTTTGAACCACTAAGCTCTGGTTAGCAGTCAGATGCCTTAGGCACTGTGCCACCAGAACTCCTTTCTGATCAGGGCAGGGACCCAATAATTGGTTCTGCTTGCCCAGGACTACACAAATGTTCACACCAGCAGCTGGCTACCAGAAAGGTGCAATCAGCTCCTTCCTCCCCACACCTTCCCAGTGATCAGAAGTATGGCTACCCTCCACCTCAACTGGTTATGCCACTACTGTCTTGCATGATATAAGAGACACACCCTCATGGATCAGCCACCACATGAACGCCACTCCTGCATTTGGAGGCATGCATTTTCCATCTCCTCAGGCCAGCAGAATGTGCTGTCCCAAACCAGGTGCCCTCCCACTAGCCACCTCCTAATGGGAAGAAATGCTATCCTGAATTGGTCGCCCCACCTACAGCTGCGTCCTAGGCCAGCAGAAGAGCAGTCCCATACCAGACACCCTGCATCTAAAAGAAGCACAGTCCCAGAATGGGGACTATGCACCAACCAATTCCTAGGCTGCCAGAAGTACAATATTGAACCGGTACCCTGTTCCTGAGGCCTCCACAGCCAACAAATGGCACAGACCTGTACCAAGTGCCATGTCCCTCACCACCTCTTTGGCCAGCAGGAGTACTGACTGAGTGCTTTGCCCCCCCAACTTTTCTCCTTTCTTTCTTCCCTGTTTTTGCTTTTCCCCTTCTCTTGTTTTTTGATATTTTCTCTTTCTCATTTTCTTTTCTTTTTTCATTCATCTAATTTGTTTTTCTCCCCCCTAGATTTTTTTTTCCTTCTTCCTTCTTTTAGGTTTTTAGACCTGGCAGGAGATAGCAACTATGACCACAATTCCCAGCCACATTTGCACCTCCTGAAGCCCCATTCACTTGATGAATGCCACCAACTGCTTCTGTATCACCTGAGCAATGACAGACAGCAGCCAATACCAGCCCAGACTTCTGTCAACTATTCTACATGATCAGTGAACACAAAACTACACACACATGCCCATCCTCTATCACACCCACCGGGAGACAAATGGTGAGTGCCTTATTGCTACCAAACTAGCAAGCAGAAAATAGCATACTTACACCACTAGCCAAAAATATCAAAGAAAAATAAAGAAGAAATAAAAACTGAGCAAAACACACCAACATATAATCATCAATTAAATACAAATATAACACCACTACAATATCTCAGAGACAGAAGACAAACATCAGTTCATATAACAGATTGGGTGACTCAAACAAGTGCACAAATACAGAGCAAGAAAACCTTCTTGAGGAAGAAATGGCATTGGAATTCTTGATAAGGAATTCAAAAGAATTATATTTAGGTACTTTCAAAGGACTGAACAAAGACCAAGGAAAACACACAAAAAATCAAGGAAAACACATAACAAAACTAGAAGAATTCAGGAAAACAATACAAGAACAAATTGACAAAATAAATGGAAAATTAGAAACCATAAAAAAGAGCACATAGAAATCCAGAAGATTATACTAAGATTTCAGAAACACATAATGCATTGAAAGAGCAAAGGAAAAATACTGAACCAATGGAAAACAGAATTAAAGAACTTGAAGATAAATTTCTCAGTGCAAATCTGGTAGAGGAACAATCAGAACAAAAGGACAAAAAATATATATAAAAAGAAGATTCAGAATTACGTGGGACATCATCAAGAAGAATACTTTACATGTGATCAGAATTCCAGAACAGTAAGGGACAAAATTCACAGAGAAAACTGTCAGAATTTATTGGAAGAAAATTTACCTAATATCATGAAAGACAATAATATATGCATTCAAGAAACTCAAAAGAACCCCAAAAAGATAGGCTGCAAAAGAAAATCACCAAGACATATCATGATAACTTTCCAAAACCAAAGACAGAGAAAGAATCCTGAAAGTAACTCGAGAAAAACAAAAACGTACCTACAAAAGAGAATCAGTAAAACTAAGCTCTGATTTCTCAGCAGAATCATGCAGGCAAGAAGGCAATGGAATGACATATGTAAAACTCTGAATGAAAAAAATTGCCAAGCAAGAATTATGTAAACAGTTTGTAAATGGCCATCTAAGGTGCAACTATTAGTCTTTTCCCACCTGGAGTAAAGAAGAATAAAGAAAGTCAAAGAGAATTTGATTGGAAACAACTTGTACAACCACTGTAGAAATCAGTATGGCACTTCCTTAAAAAGTTGGAAATAGAAATATCTTATCATAAAACAGTCGTACTACTAGGTAATATCCTACAGAAATAAAAGTCACGTCACAAATAGATACATGCACATTCATACTGATCACAGCACTATTCACAAGAGCAAAAAGATGGAAATAACCTGAATGCCCATCAAAGGATAGGTAGATAAACAAACAATGGTACATATACACACTGGAACGCTACACAAGGTTACAGAATAACGATAAATCTGTGAAACACCTGTAATATATATGAAGCTAGAGGACATTATGCTGAGTGAAATTAGTCACTCACAAAAGAACAAATATTGTATGAGAATGCTATTATAAAAGTTAAGAAAATGTTTAAACACCAAAAGAAACATTCTTTAATGGTTACTAGAGTGGGAAGAGAAGGGAGGATAAATCGCTAACTAGATAGTAGCTACATATTAACTTGGGTGAAGGGGAAGGCAATACACAATAAGGGGGAGGTCAGCACAAAATGATCAAGACAAAGGAAGACACTGGAAGAAGCACAAAAGTTAAAGGCAACGGAGGTAAATACTGCTACATACAATCCTATAATAGCAGTAATAACAATAATCTACAAGTGTATACATAGATAGACTGAACAGGTGTGGAAA